AGTGCAGCGGAGGTCCAACAGATCCACGCCAATCCACGCGGTGCGCACGAGATCCAGCGAGCCGGTGGTAAAGGCAATAACCGCTGAAGAAGTGGTGGAAGCCAGCTCAGCGCCATGATCCAAGACCCCTGCTGCAGCTAGCGAGGCCCGCTCTGAGACCAAAGCCACGGAAGCCAACAAGCGAGTGAGCTGCTCAACGACGCCCCACTGGAAAAACTGAGCCAGGAGAAGCAGCATACAGAGCCAGAAAGCGTCATGCCTGCTGAACTTTGAAAGCCGCGTCCACCACCGACCCAGGCGAGAGCGCAACAGCACTCGGTGAGGACGAAGACGAGGCGCTGCCGTAACTGCCTCAGTAGAGGATTTGACACGCCTCGCCGAAGATGCTCCGGGCGTGCGGGCCCTGGTAGGTTGAGCACGCCGTACGCGACGTGAGGGAAGGGGCATAGCCTGCGGAAGACCTTGAAGCGTTGGGACATCTGGGATTTCGAAGCCGTCAAAATCCAACACTCCCTCACCCATCGCTCGACCTGAAAACTCCAGCAGGAAAGAAATCGGCAAAGTGCGCTTCACTGTAGGCCTGGGCTGGCCCCACTCCCCGCAAATGGAAAGCCGATTGCACGTGTGCGGCCGACACGACGTCGAGGTAGGTCTTGAACGTCTGTTCGGATGCCCAACGTCCTCGTTGACGAATGTCCGCGACGTGACAATCCCTGGAATATTCCTCAGTCGCAAACCCTGCGCGGGGAGAATGCGGAGTAAAGTGGACTTCCAGCCCCAAGTGCCTCCCCACTTGGGCCAGGAGTTTGCGATACTGAGCATACGAAACTGGGAACAAAGCAGTTTGTGGCTCCACTTCATGCAACAACTGCCAAAGCACACCAGCCACCACAGGATCGCGCGCACAATCAAAAGATGCAATTTGTTCACGCCGAACTTTAGTGCCCAATCCCACTCCCAAACGAAAAATGAACTTAGGGCACGATGCAGAAGGCCGTAACACATCCTGTTCATGCAGTCTGAGCAACTCACTAGGGCGAAGGCCCGTGAGGCACTGTACCACGAGGCCCACTCCCAAGCAAGGAAATCCCACTGCCACAAAGTGTACTGCAAACAGTTTTGCTGGACCTGAAAGCAAAGGTGATGTGTGCCTGATCGGGGTCACCCGGCACAAGCCCTTTGCAGCGCGCTTGGAATACGGAAGCAGCCCTTTAAGAGGCAATAAATGGAACTCCAGCGCTGCGATCAACTGCTCCAGTTTTGAATGCGACAGATGGTTGGAAGCTTTATACTGCAAAATCAGGAGGTCCAGCTCTGCAGCCGAAGCTGGATTTGCACCCGAATCTATAAGGAAAATCACAAATCGCTGCAAGCACTGCTGATAACTGTTGTATGTAGACGCCTTGACTGAAGCAATATGGTGTGGATCCAGCTCACGAGGGAGGCATGCAAAAGCCAATTGGCCTCCACTCATTCTTGATTCCTTGAAGCACCGTCCGCGGGCATGATGGATGTTTGTACCCACGGCAACAACAAGCGAATCTGCGCTGCTAGACACAAGGCAGCTTTCTTTCTACAATACACATTAAGGCCCCACGAAGAAGACCTTCCTCTAGTAAGAACTGCTTTACACACCATGTTGTCTTGCAACGAATACCAAATTGTGCCATGACGTGCGGGATTGGAAGTGACCCATCGAAGAGCTTTCCATACTGCTCGCGTCTCGCCGATGCTAATGTGGTCAGAAGCTTTCCACCGACCCTGCAAAACCACAGTCCATCTGGACTCGGAAAATAAAGCAGCTGGAAGCAATGAAAACGGGATTGTAGGTGTTAAAGCTCTTTCTGGGAAGGGCATACCTTCAGTCACATCGTCATGTAAATTCA